TGCCTTTCCTCTTACTAAATATTGTGTTTGTCATAAAAGAATAGTAGAAGGCAGTTTGTAAGAGTACATTGCTGTGAGAAGAGGCTAGATCAAAGAATTTAGGGTTTATGAAAATGTTCATGTTCAATCTCTCGGTAGTTATTACTTCTTAGATAAATGAATGGAAAAATCAAGACATGCGTATGTATTAAAAAGTTCAAAGAGTAGATATATTATCATGGGCTGTGTGAACCAGAAACCCATAATTTAATATGTCACCAACTTTCTAGTTTCTAAGCACTCCCTCTACCTCTCTGCTTATTTTCCTGTGTTAGTATGTGCATGTACATAAATGCATTTTTATTTTCTTCTGAGCTGCTTAGTACATTATGATTTTAGTCACTATCAATTTTGTAAAACTGAAGTTTGCTAATGATGCAGAAACCAGAGGACGTTCCGCCCGAAAAAAAGCGCACCTTCAGGGAGTAAGGTTGTTCCCCTTTGCTCAACTTTTTCTCCCTGAGTCTATGTATGTATCTATAATTCTATATTGGTACATCGTTCTTCCAAAATAGAAAACTTTTATTGAGTTTTTGTGGTCGTTTATACCCATATTATATGGGCATAATTTCTAATGTAACTTTCTTCTTTTCTCATCTGATTCTCCTTACTACAAATCGAAGTGTACTCTGAAATTTTTCTGTCCTTGCATTTAGCTACTACATATATTTTCTCCTAATGTTTAACTCTCATGATGTGGGATTTAAAACTTGAAATTTGTATGGTTTAAACCTGTACCTGTGAGAGTTAAATTTTTTAAATGATATTAAGGACAACTTGGAATGAGAAAAGGAGCATGTTAACGGTGTTTAGAACCTGAATTGAATCAGAAAATGAGCATTCACAAAGTTGTAATTTAAAGATGCAAAGTGAAAGTAAATGGGACTAAAAATCCAAAAAGAAAAACAACGAAAGAGATGTTTGGATCTTATACTACAATCATACGGTGTAACTGAATTCGTTCGTTAATTTTTTTTCTCTTGATGCAGGGTGCTCAGCTTAGAAAGCATATTGATGCTACACTTGGTAGTGGCAACCTAAGAGAGGCAGTAAAACTTCCAACTGGAGAAGATTTAAATGAATGGCTTGCTGTTAACAGTTCTCTCTCTCTCTCTCTCTCTCTCTCTCTCTCTCTCTCACACACACACACACACACACACACACACACACACACACACTCACACATCACAAACTAGTGCCTGTCAATTTTTAGTTTGTCTAGTCCATCATATGGTTGATACGTGGTTAAAAGTTTTGTTTCTTATCAAAAGAACATATGGTTGTTGCATAAAGCTCTGTTTAGCTTGTTGTGTGATGTTTTAGACGGTAAAAGTTTCTATGTAAAAGGATTTACATGAAAATGGAACTCTTTCCTCCGAATTTTTGTTGTTTGGATGCAACTTGAGATATTATTCGAAATTATATTTATATTTTCATGTGTTTCTCTTAGAAAGTATTATGAGAAAATAGATAACTTTAAAAAGCAGTTGAAGGGGAATGACTTTACTTTTTAATATTACTGTGTTCCAGACAAAAACCAGAAAACTGTAGGGCATGCTTTTATGTTTCTTCCAATTAAAGAAGAGAAAGAGGAGAAATAAGGTACTGAAGAAAAATGAGAGGCGAGGAACAAAAAAGTAGGAATAGATAAAACTAAAACTAAGTACAAAGACCATTCTACATATTCTTGCTCCTTCCTTCACATCTGATCTCCTCCCTCATGTCCCCACACCCGATTGAAAGAATAAAAATCACAAAAAAAAATATCGTACCCAGTGCACAGGGCTCCTGCTTTACGCAGGGTCTGGGAGAGGTGAATGTCGGCTAGCCTTACCCCCATTTATGGAGAGGCTGCTCCCAAGTCTCGAACCCGAGACCTACCGCTCATGGGCGAAGGCACTTGCCATCGCACCAAGTGCGACCTCTGAAAGAATAAAAATCACAAAAAAAAAAAAAAAACGGCACCAATTATGTGAATTTCATTTTCTCCGGTCTTTTAGGAAAAATAATCTTCATTACAACATTCAAGTACCTCCTTTCCAGCAATTTATTATTTAATTCAATCCCTCTTGTGTACTCTAGTTCTAAAATCTTGTCGTCGGTGTTTAAATTTCAGCTGTGGATTTCTTCAATCAGGTCAACTTGTTATACGGTACCCTCACAGAGTTCTGTACTCCAGAGAATTGTCCTACAATGACTGCAGGCCCCAAGTATGGGAGTATATCTTTCTTTTATTAAACCGTTTTGCTCTTTCTTTTCTTAAATCTGGGTTTTTTACCATTGTGTTACTGGCTTCTTGTCTTTCTACCAAAAGTCTCCAGGGGAACATGGAAACACACTAAGTACAAGATATTTCAGAAAGCTAGATTTATATTAATTCTGAAATTAATAGCAATTGATTCCGTTGGCGATTAGGTGTTCACATATTGATAGATATTAAAATAAACTATTAATTTGACTCTTTAATACTGACATGTTTAACACAGGTCATCAACACTACTAGGAAAAGGATCAAGTATTCAATATCAATATTATTTAGACAAGAGAAAATGAATGAAGCTCCTCCCTATCTCTACGCCTTGAACCACCCTGTCCCAATCTCTCTGCTTTGTGGGAAACCAACCTCCTCTTTCAAACAGTTTGTGGGCCTTTGCATGCCTCAACTTCCCCTTTCTCTATTGGGTTGTATACCTTTCTCTCAGCACCCACAACCCAGTACTTGCATAATCTCCTACATCATTCTGGTCATTCAGTATGTGGTTTGTCTGCTAACCAACCTTTGCCTGCTAGCTCTAGAGTTACTTTTCAGTTTCTGTTGCATAAATTCAGTATTGAAATATTGCCAGCAAATTTCTACATCTTTTTCGTGTAAAACCTTTGAAAAGTTATGTACTCCCAATTTCTCTTTTTACTCGATGGCTTGGACAACTTTAACGACTGATCAAATTATGCCTTCTATAATTTTTATTCTAATCCAGCTTCTGTTTGTTAAAACTCTACAGGTATGAGTATAGGTGGGCAGATGGTGTACAGATTAAGAAACCGATTGAGGTTTCAGCTCCAAAATATGTTGAATATCTAATGGACTGGATTGAATCTCAACTTGATGATGAATCCATATTTCCCCAAAAGCTTGGTAATGCTATTTATGACAATATTGGGTTTTTCATTTGACTAATATAATTCATTCTCTGTTCACTTTCTTTGTCTTCCAGGTGCACCATTTCCCCCCAATTTCAGGGAGGTTGTGAAGACGATATTCAAAAGACTGTTCCGTGTATATGCCCACATATATCACTCTCATTTCCAGAAAATTGTGAGCCTTAAGGAGGAGGCCCATTTAAATACTTGCTTCAAGCATTTCATACTATTTACCTGCGTAAGTACTCTTACTATTGCAATAACTGTTTTCTTTTCTCTTCTTTTTGAAATATATCTAGTTGTACGTTTATTTATTTAATCATTGTATCTTGTTGATAACGTCGATAACATTCTGAAATTGATTATATTCTTAATTCGCCTTATAGATTGTGGTCTAGCTGTTGGTAACTTGAATTTATAATAATAGTCATAAAATAGAGTACAAAGACTCGGGGAACAAGAGGTCGACCAACGTTTTGCTACAACTCATAGAAACAAAACCAAAACACACCTCTGACATTGTAGTCTAAACTCTCAACTACAGCAGCTTCCCGATCTAATAAAATCATAGAAAATAAATATCTCTCCAGGGTAGAGAGGATGGAGCCTGTAAGGAATCTGTGACTTTTTGCAAACAACGTTGAATTATAACTGAGGAAAAACCCAAACTAACCCGTGCAACCTCAACCAACTACTACCTCAGACCCCAGTGCATATGCTCAATGTAAGAACAAGTTCCAGATTCCGTCTCCTTTTTTGGCACAAAATACATCAGTTGGGAGACAGACATTCAATTCATAAAGTGGTATAGGTTGCTAGTTGTTTGAACACCTGTCATGGCCTTATCGTTATCCAATAGAAATTAGATTTGAGGAGTAAGAACATAATAGTTAGGAGAGTGAAATTACTAATGCATAATAGTCATGGTTTTATCTTACTTCATGGACAAAGTTCCTACTCGATAAACTCGTAGGCTGATTCCATTATACTGCGCTTTTTGCAGGAATTTGTGCTAATTGACAAGAAGGAGCTAGCTCCACTTCAAGAGCTTATAGAATCCATCATTGTTCCTTATTGAACCCGGTTTGCAGATCCCATTAGGGAAGCATACTTGAATGAAATAAACTCTACTGATCTTTAGAGTCTCCTACATTGCGTGTTATAAATACTTTTTTGTGCATATGCTCTGTGTGCCTTAGAATTGAAATGTTTAATTCTCTTCTAATTTATTTCGAGCTATGATACTGTGGAAAGCGAACGGGCAGCAGTTGCTCTTTGTAAGCGGCTGAAGCAGAAAAGCTGAAGTCGATCAGCTGAAGGTTTACCTAGCTGGTTTTAGATCATAGAAACATAAAAGTGAGTGTTGTATTTGTATTTCTTGGTTTTATGTCAAAACTAGCGGCTCGTTAAATTTAGTTTCAAACAGATTTGGCAATAAATTGTGAATTGTGTGAAGCGATATGCAGTTTTAAGTAGTTTTTGTTTGATTATTAATACCATTATCAAGCAGTTGAAGGCTAAATCACCTTGAGTATCTCTGGAACTTTAGTATTTTGTGCATTTCTACGACAATAATCCTATCGTCCTTTCGTTTAAACCGCCACAAAGCGCGATTAAGCCCAATTTAAATGGATCGATGGCACAAAACAAACACATAATGGACGACAATTATAGAAATCTTGATGTTCTTGCTATTTGTTCCACACAACTCGGAACAAATGGCGCTCCATGATAGTGACCTTCGCGTTTTGGTTGCACGTAAATTTCTCTCCAACGTCAAGATAGCTATGTTATAACCATTGCTAAATCCCAACTCGATGTCATTTTAATGAATAAATACGTCAAATATTATATAGATCACAATAAGGTTACAAAATTCGACACCAAGCAAAAATAAGTTTACAAAACAATCCATATATAAAACACATTTTCATTTTAAATAGGGAAGAACACGACCTTGAACAAAAGCCTCTTCATTATTGACAAAAAAAAGTTCCCCTTGTATCTATGATGTTATGAATGCCACTAACTCCACGACTCGTATCTCCATTTGCTTCTAAATCTAAAAATCTATGTTTCGATCTTTCCTCCGTTAAACATTATATTTTCGTAGATCTGCATGTCAAACCTGTAAAATCACAGAAATCAGGTTGTCAGAAGAACAGCTTGCATTGCAATAAACGCGGACAAGGATAAGCTAGCGTACCCCTATGTCGATCATCAACGAATACATCCTATACTGCACGCAAGCTCCGTTGATCAGAATGCCCAAATCTTGAGGCAACAAAACCATATCCTCCCACAACTGCAACAAGTACACTAAGAACCATGGTAAAGAACTGGAAGTTTGCAAGCAACTCACCTCGGACCTCATTGTCGACAGAATGACATGAGATCATATCATCCTTGAGCTGACAACCATCTGGCATCATGGGGCCGTAGAGAGTGAACGCAGTCTGATAAAACCAGAGGCCTTGGAGAGTTATGGCAATACCGCTACATAAATCAATTGGAAAGCTGGTTGGTAAGAGGGCTCCAGCTACAGTTGATACTATGCAGAGCCCGATTAGGAGGACAAGGAGGATGTGATAATACCCCTCGAGGCCTTTATGAGTTGTTGAGTGAAAGTAGAAAAGGAGATACTCTGCACAGAATGCTGTAGCAGCAATCAGAGCAAGAGCTCCTTCAGGCATCGGAAGAAATCTAATTGCAGGACATTAAAGGAGAAAGAAAAACAATTAGCCATAGTACAAAGTCATCGCATAAGAGACTGAAAAACAGAAAAGAAAAACCAAGGGTATTGCATAGATGATGTGTTGGACGGTTAAAATTAACAATTAACAAACAGTTGTGTTAATAGGGGTTAATGTCTGATGGGTAGCGCTGTGATATTTGAAGCATCCGTAAGTATAAAAATAGTTTCAAAAGTAATTCTACAATGATCATATTATGCACGACAACTTGAATCCTTTCATTATAAAAATAGTTTCAAAAGTAATTCTACAATGATCCCACAGAAAAGGAGTCAATCTGCAGGCACAAGCAGGCCGCTGGAAACCATCATGGACTTGGGGCTCTACTGGAGCTTCTTCAGCTCTCCTCGATTAACATGAGCGAATAGAAAACTGGAATAAATGTATGAGAGTTGAGGATAACCCTATGTTAACAAGCCTAGTGGAATAATTAGTCTTGTTAGCTGTAGGTCAAGAGCTGTGGCAGCTTTTTCTGGGAAGGGATCAGGATAAAGGAAGGACATCTACTGGGGGTTCAACATTTTAGATGAGGAAGCTAAGTGGTGATGGGGAGAGGCTGTGTTGCTCCAAGGTGGGTCCTGAAGATGGCATCAACATTGATGGAAGACCAGTAGGTCAGACGTCAGAGAGAGGGGACGGGAGACTGGAACCTAGATCAAAGAGGGAGCACCTCTCTCTTGTCAACTGAAATTCCAAAAAACATAAGTGCTATCATCAGACATCTGCCTCTTTATTGTAAACATTTTCACATCACTCTGAATTCCTGGGGAATGATTGCAAAACTTTTGCTGTCTGGTGACATTTATCTAAGTTTCATGAGTTAAAACTGATGCTTACACAATCATATACGAATTAAGCAATCGTATTAAGATAGTGTTTTTTCTTTTCTTTCCATTCTTATTTAGCTATCATAAATAGTGGATAAAAGTGTTGCAATATATCACAACAAATAATTATGAAATCCCTTATTCACTTCCCATGGAGTATCTAATTGCAAATTACTATCCCCACCTGATATGTACACAAGAACAGATAGTCATCATATAAGCAGCTGCCAGAGTCATCTAATTATGCAAGTACTATTATCTGAACGATTTTGATTGCTAGCATCCAAATTAAAATCTTTAAATTGCAAAGAAACAGAGGAAGCATGGATACAAATGCCTCATAGTCCAAGCTGAAAAAATGAATAAACTTTTAGATGTGCACTCATTTTGTTAATTTGTTTCCGGTGCTATAGAAACATCCACTTGAGCAGGTAAAAAAATGCAACACTCTTAATTGATCGGAGCAGCTACTTTATCTCATATATTTAAAATCTAAGAATCAGTGGCTTTATTGCTTTTTCTATCCTATCTTTTTCCGACGAATCAACAGGATTGTTACACAACATGATATAAAAACGAAGAAAATGGCAATCAATATAATCAAATGAGCATGACCATACCTTGTCTCCTGTGAGATCAGGGTGACAACCCCAAAGATAAAGAACATAAGAAGCATCCCCGAGTGCTCGAAATCATTCATGTGATGAGGGTTCAAGACTCCATCTACAAAGAACTTGAGATGGGTCGAATACAAAAGCTCGATACACATATCAATGAAAGCACCAACTGCTATAAGATAAAGCTCAAAATACTTAAGCCTCCCATCAACACCGGGAACTGGGTTCCATACATGTACCCGAAAGGACTTGGGGTTTGACACATATCTCACCAGCGAGCACCATACGTGCCACACCCCAACAACCAAAAACAAAGTCCCTGGCAGAATATGACCTTTGAAAGAACCCATCTTTCTTGGTTGAGGATATGTCTATATATGCACGGATCAATGTCCGCCTCTCTGAGATTTCCCTTTATTTTTTCGGTCAATATCTCCCTGAGATTTCAATCTTTTTCTTGTCCAACAAAACCAATAATTTCCTTTTCCAGGAAAAACACTTTGAAATTCTTTTCCTTTCCGCTGGCAGACTTTTGTGTTCTTGGACTGAGATTTTTGGGTTCTTCTGGAAGTATTTTGAAGGCGAAAGATTTGATCAATTTCCCGATTTCCAACTTTCCCACAAAGCAAATTGTTGAAAGTCGTCTTTCTTTAGTAAAGAAACAAGGAAAACAAGAAATAGCCTCACCAGCAGTCAAATTTCAACAGCTGACGATGAGAACACTTATTACGATTTGCAAGTACATAAAAACATAAAAAATAAATAAAAACAAGATCGAGGCAGTAAAAAAATTGAAATTTACACACAACCCAACATTTTATACACGAAAAACTGCATCACAATTCACAGGACTAGCTAAAAAAATGGTAATTGAATGGCGCGTAAAGGGAAATCATCACGATATTATTAATGAAAAAGCCAAAAAGGAAGGGTAAAAAAAACGAAATCGACGTACTTGGGAATACTGGTAAGCGTATGATTCATTCATCAAAGGATTATGCTTTTTGCAAACCCAAAAGGCAAAAGGCAGAGAGAGAGTGAGCGACGGAGAGTAAAAATGTCTCCTGTAAATGTGGTGGGGATCCAAAAGAGAACGATGATGATGGGAACGGAATTGTTAATGCGATTAACTGTTTTCACGTGCCGACTCCTGGTGGGTCCATCTTTAGATCTACACCGTCCGGTCAAAGCCCTTTCTTTTATTTCAAAGGACTCTCTTGGTCTTGGATGCTTCGACGAATATTGATTTAAAATATCTGATCGTGTATTCAAATAGCTTCCCATCCTTTGGGGTGAGAAACGAGGATGGGGAAGCTATCTTGGATTTTGCAATGACATATGATCTCTTCTTAGCCAACACCTTCTTTAAGAAGAGAGAAGAACATGTGATCACCTACAAGAGTGGGTCGTAAAAAACACAAATAGATTTTCTTCTAATGAGGAAAAATGATCGTATAACTTGTAAGGATTGCAAAGTTATACCAGGAGAGAGCGTGGCTAATCAATATCGCTTGTTGGTGATGGATGTACATATCAAAAGAGTGAGAAAAAAGAAAAAGACTTGGAAGTGCCCAAGGACTAGATGGTGGAATCTAAAAGAAGAAAAACAAGCCATTTTCAAAGAGAAAGTAATCACCCAGTGTGTGTGGGATAGAGAGGGGGAAGCTAACCAAATGTGGGATTCCATGGCTAGTTGTATCCGAAAAGTAGCAAAAGAGGTATTAGGAGAGTCCAAGGGCTTTGCCCCACACCAAAAGGAATCTTGGTGGTGGAATGAGGAGGTACAAACAAAGGTGAAGGCTAAGAAGGAATGTTGTAAAGCCTTATACAAGGATATGACCAATGAAAATGGTGAAAGGTATAGAAAAGCGAAGCAAGAGGCGAAGAAAGCTGTGAGAGAAGCTAAGTTAGCGGCTTATGACGATATGTATATAAGCGACTAGATACCAAAGAAGGAGAGTTGGATATCTATAAAACTAGCTAGAGCAAGGGAAAAGAAGACAAGGGACCTAAACCAAGTGAGGTGCATCAAGGATGAGGATGGAAAGGTTCTTGCTACAGAGAACGCGGTTAAAGACAGATGGAAAAGTTATTTTCATAATCTTTTCAATGAAGGACATGAAAGAAGTGCTTCTTTAGGGGAGTTGAGTAACTCAGAAGAGTGTAGAAACTACTTTTTTTATAGTAGAATCCGAAAGGAAGAAGTGGTTGTAGCTTTGAAGAAGATGAAGCATAGAAAAGCAGTAGGCCCAGACGATATATACCAATCGAAGTGTGGAAAGTTTTGGGAGAGACAGGTATAACATGGCTCACTGACCTTTTCAATAGGATTTTGAAAATGAAGAAGATGCTAAATGAGTGGCGAACGAGCACTTTGGTGCCTATCTACAAGAATAAGGGCGATGTACAAAATTGCATGAACTATAAGGGTATTAAGCTAATGAGTCATACAATGAAGCTCTGGGAGAGAGTCATTGAGCATAGATTGAGGCAAGAGACACGGGTTTCGGACAACCAATTCGGGTTCATGCCAGGGCGCTCAACCATGGAGGCAATCTATCTCTTACGAAGACTGATGGAAAGATATAGAGATGGGAAAAAGGATTTACACATGGTCTTTATAGATTTGGAAAAAGCGTATGATAGGGTCCCAAGAGACATTCTTTGGAGGATTTTAGAGAAGAAATGAGTACGAGTAGCATATATCCAAGCTATAAAGGATATGTATGAAGGAGCAAAGACTGCCGTAAGAACTCATGAAGGACAAACCGAAAGCTTTCCCATAACTGTAGGATTACATTAAGACTCATCCTTAAGTCCTTACCTTTTTGCTTTGGTAATGAGTTAACATGACATATTCAAGATGATATTCCTTGGTGTATGCTTTTCGCAGACGATATAGTGTTGATAGATGAAACTCAGGAAGGGGTAAATGCAAAGCTTAACCTTTGGAAAGAAGTGTTGGAATCTAAAGGTCTTCGCCTAAGCCGATCAAAGACAGAATATATGGAGTGCAAGTTCAGTGCAAATGGAGGCCAAAACGAGTTAGGGGTGAGGATCGAAGATCAAGAAATACCAAAGAGCGATCGTTTTCGTTACCTAGGATCTATCTTGCAAAAGAACGGCGAATTAGATGGAGATCTCAACCATAGAATACAAGCTGGATGGATGAAGTGGAATAGTGCATCCGGCGTGTTGTGTGACCGCCGTATGCCACTGAAGCTCAAGGGAAAATTCTATAGGACGGCAATAAGGCCGGCGATGTTGTATGGCACAGAATGTTGGGTGGTGAAGCATCAACACGTACATAAAATGGGTGTAGCGGAGATGAGGATGCTTCGTTGGATGTGTGGGCACACGAGAAAGGATAAGATTAGGAATGAGGATATCCGGGGTAAAGTAGGAGTAGCCGAAATTGAAGGAAAGATGAGAGAAAATCGGTTACGGTGGTTTGGACATGTGCAAAGAAGGCCTACTGACGCTCCGATTAGAAGATGCGACTATGGGACAGAGGTTCAGGGCCGAAGGGGTGGAGGAAGACCTAGGAAAACTTTGGAAGAGACCCTAAGAAAAGACTTAGAGTACTTGGACCTAACGGAGGACATGACACAGGACAGAACACAATGGCGTTCTAAGATTCATATAGCCGATCCCACTCAGTGACTTGGATTTTCCAAGTCTCCAACCGAGAAAGTTTTCCTCACTCGGGAAATTAAGGGAACACTACCTCAACCTACATGCTCCACTCACAAAGCTTCAACATACAAGCTTCAACAAAAGAAAATTCAAAGAACTTAGCGAAGAAGGCTTCGGTGTATTTAACACAATACGTTGAAATGAAGGAAAGCTTATTTATTGATATCCCCGATAAGTTACAAATATGTACATATACTTGAGTCAAAATAAACAAACAAGAGGGAGCCTTCACAAAGGTTGCTTAGGAGAAGTCTCAGCAGTCGGTAGAGCCCCAGAAAGAGAAGGCACCGGAGGGGGATCATTCGGAGCCTCAGTACTGGACAAAACCCTAGAAGGAGGAGGCATCAGAGGTTGATCATTTGGAGCTTCATTACGCGGTACAACCCCAGAAGACGAAGGCAATAAATGCCTTTGGAACAAACCCACAAATCTATGATGATTAAGTAAAACCTGACCATCAGATTCCTTCATCTGGTCAAGCTTCCTCTTCATGTTTGTAGCATAGTCATGTGTGAGCCGGTGCAACTGTTTATTCTCATGCTTGAGCCCTCTAATCTCCTGTTTGAGACTCATCACTTCAGCCGCCAATGATTCAACTTGGCGGGTTCGAGCAAATAGGCGTTGGGCCATATTAGACACAGAACCTGCACACTGAACACTAAGAGCCAGAGAATCCTTAACAGCCAACTCGTCAGACCGTTTGGAAAGTAGTCTGTTATCTTTGGGAGTGAGAAGGTTCCTGGCCACTACCGCAGCGGTCATATCATTCTTCATCACGAAATCCCCAACGGTAAGAGGACCAGTAGGGGAGACGAAGGATGGGCGCCATATGTTGTCTGGAGAAGGCGGGGCTGCCTCTTCAACAAGGTTCAAGTCAAAACGACGGTCGGAGGGGCCAGACATTTTCAAAGTGTGTTGAAGAGAGAAGAGGTCGGACAAATCAAAGATCTTAGAAGTGCAAGAATGGAGCTTCTACTGGTGGATATTCAAGTGTGCTTTGGAACTTAATGTCAGCCCTTATAAAAATCTGCACTCGACGAAGCTTCAGAAATCGAAGAGGCGTTTGCTTTCTCAAAAGCTGGGCTGCTCAGAGACCACAAGGGTCGATCTCAGAAATCGAAGAGGCGTTTACTTTCTCAAAAGCTGGGCTGCTCAAAGACCACGAAGGCCGATCTCAGAAATCGAAAAGGCTTGCTTTCTCAAAAGCTGGGCTGCTCAGAGACCACGAGGGCTGATCTCAGAAATCGAAGAGGCACCTACTTTTCCAGCCTTGTCAGCACCTGTCACACGCACACTCAGCTTTGCGGAAATTATGGGCATTCTGTCGAAGATTTCTGGCGAAGTAGAAAGCACATGAATCGTACTGTTCAATCACCCACTTCCCACACGCAACAGTAGCTCATGGGTACCACATATAACTTTGCCAAAGTTCTCTGACAAAGTTGAGACACGTGAAGCTTGCAGCTCCCACTACATCGCTCTGACCAAGAAGGGTAAAAGAATAGCAAAGAAACAACACTAACAAAGTTTAGACACATAAATTTTGAAGGTCTAACTACCATATTATTACCCACAAGGGTAAAGGAACAGTACCACTGCTGGATAATTGGAAAGTCCCGGTGTGTCAACCTCTGTACTTCGTGGCAAGGTAGACTAGCAAACATGCCCAACCTTTACTCACATTCGAGAAAACACTCCCAACAAGATTGCTTGCTCCAAAATCGAAGAGGCACCGCCCTCCGAATCTCGAGAGCCAGACGCCCAACATGATTACTATCTCAAAAATCGAAAAGAGGGTAAATGAACAGTACCACTGCTGGATAATTGGAAAGTCCCTATGTGTCAACCTCTGTGCTTCGTGGCAAGGTAGACTAGCAAACATGCCCAACCTTTACTCACATTCGAGAAAACACTCCCAACAAGATTGCTTGCTCCAAAATCGAAGAGGCACCGCCCTCTGAATCTCGAGAGCCAGACTCCTAACATGATTACTTTCTCAAAAATCGAAGAGAGGGTAAAGGAACAGTACCACTGCTGGATAATTGGAAAGTCCCTGTGTGTCAACCTCTGTGCTTCGTGGCAAGGTAGACTAGCAAACATGCCCAACCTTTACTCACATTCGAGAAAACACTCCCAACAAGATTGCTTGCTTCAAAATCGAAGAGGCACCGCCCTCCGAATCTCGAGAGCCAGACTTCCAACATGATTACTTTCTAAAAAATCGAAGACACCGCTCTCCGAATCTCGAGAGCCAGACCCCCAGCAGGATTGCTTTCTCAAAAATCGAAGAGGCATCGTTCTCCGAATCTCGAGAGCGAGATCCCCGACAGGATTGCTTGTTCGAAAACCGAAGAGGCACCACTTTCCCAACTTCAAGAGCTGGA